GGGTGAGGGGCTGAGGGCTGCTTTCAGGCTGGCGGTTGACTGAAGCTCCCAACTGCTCCTTTTTTTCTTTTTTTTTTTTTTTTATTCTGGGCCAGCTTTAGCTCTGGCTCTAGCTCTGAGGCGTTCCGCTGCTGAAAGCAGGTATCTGGTTTGTTTGCATTCTATAGTCGAAACAATGTATAACTCCAGCTCTGAGATCCCGGCCAGCTGAAAGCTGGTTTCTGGGGTTTTGTTTAGCTTCTATATTTGTTACAATGTTTCAAACTGCAAGCTCAGAGGCCAGCAAGGCAGGCGGGGAACGTTGGAGTCCTCTGTCACTGAAGCAAGCAAGCCTCATGTTCGTTTCCAGCTGCCTGGCTGCCGGCCGCCATCTTGGCTGGCAGTTAATTTGCATATTGCCCTGATTAGCCAATGGGAAGGGTAGTGGTCGTACGCTAATTACCATGTTTCTCTTTTATTAGATTTTATTCCCTTTTCCTATTGCCATCCTTCCGCCCCATCAGTTCTCTTCTGTTTAATTTGTGAGTTTTTTTTCTTTTATGTGTTCCTGTGAAACATGTATTGTTATTTTTGTGCAATATTTTAAATCTGTGTAATGAATCTCACTTGATTTTTCCTGTTCCCCTCAGTGTTCTGTTCCCTACTGCTCCATATTGCTGTGCGTGCATGCATTTACCTGCACATTGTCACGTGGGCATCTAATCTGTTGTATCTGACAGGTAGAGTCCTACACGGAGATGTCTCTAGTTCTCTTCCCCCACTCCTCCAGTGCGAACTTCAGACTTCTTCCAAGTCCCGTCCACAGAGACACTGCAGTGCACAGCCTTGTGCTGGCTGCATGCTGGGCCTGGCGAGGACCCCCTGGAGTGCACACCCAGGGCGGAGCCACCAGGCCCTAGGTGATGTGCACATTTCATTGTGAGAATCGTCCAGGTCTCCATCCAGACTGGCTGCCAGTGCCCACTGCCACCTCAGTGCACATTGACTACTTGTTCTGATTTTTTTCAGTTTAAAAGATATTTTATGTTGGGGTTGTTTTTTCTTGTTAATTTTCACAATGTTATTATATTTTTTTCAGTAGCAGTTCTTTGACATTCCAAAAATGTCTCCTAAGTTGTCAGCAATCTATTATATTTGTTCATGGAGGTTTGCTATATGGAGAATTTTATTTTGAGGTGGTCAGATTCATCCATTAGTGTATGGTCTGTGCTTTTGAGTTTTAAGACGTTCTCCCTGCCCTCGACTCCTCCCATCCCCCCCAGTCACTGGGATTCTCTCTGTTAACTTCTTAGCTGAGTTGTAAACTTTCCTTGCTGCTGCTGTTGCTTTCTTATGCCTTGTCCTGGATTGGTGACTTAGGTCAGGCTCCTTAGAAGCAGAGCCTGAGTTGGGGTCCTTGTGCACATGCTGGTTCGGGGAGGTGCAGGGAAGGAGCTGGACAGTGCTCCTGATCCCACAGGGAGCTCAAGTGTGAGTGGCCCCACAGGGCTGTTGCCTTTGTGCTCCCATGATACTCACTGACTGGCTGGTCTCCTCCCAGTCCCCACTTCTGTGGGGCCAACTTAACCTCCCAGGCATTTCTCCAGAGGAGCTTGCAGTTGTGTGCTGACAGCCAACATGCAGAGGGTGAGTTACCTACCCAGTAAAGGGGGTGTGGACAGGTACTGGCAGCATCTGCTATATTGGTTGACCCTAGATACTTTGGAATTATATGCCTCCAGTAGGGTGGTGACTCTGCCTGTGTTGCCACCCACAGTCTCCACAAAGGACCTGATCGAGACTTGCTGCGCAGCTGGACAGCAGTGGGCCATCGACAATGACGAGTGCCTGGAAGTCCCTGAGAGTGGCGCTGAGGGTGATGTCTGCAGGTAGGGCGGGCAACCTGGGGCAGGCAGAGTTGCCCATTCACCTTCTCCAGATCCCTGCTTGCCTTGGACTGTGGGCCCTGACAGTGCAAGGTGAGCACATGATTCACCTGCTTCCAGATGCTCAAGGGTGATTGGATATGGCAGCTGTGGCCCAGTTGGTGAGGCTTTCTGCAGGTGCAGAGAGCCCAAGACTGGACCCCAAAGTAAACTAGCCACATAAATTCACAGTGGGCCTGATGCACATAATCAGGAGTGTACCGTTTGGAACAAGTATTAAAGGACCATTGGCACCCAGGAGTAATTGTGTGCTTCTCTAACTGCTGGGCAGGGCTCCACCCACACAGGTTATACTCGCTCAGCTTTGAGCTGGGGAGCTCAGTCCTCTTTCTCTCCCCGCTTTGCTACCCTGGAGTCTCTAAAAGGGTGGCCTTTCACCATCCTCTTCTACTGCCTGTGCTGATTGTTTCTTCTGTCTCTGGTATCTCAGCAAAGGCATCATTTACACCCAGGCCAGCCTTGTGCCAGGCCTGGAAGACGTGTTGATCAGCCACTCACTATTTCTTTTTTCTAGAGACACCATCTTTTCCAACCTACTCATTTTTCCAGACAAAGGAAGACAAGGTTCAGAGAAGTAATGTGATTCACCCAAAGCCATACAACTCATTGGGAGCAGGGCCAGGAGTAGACCTCATGTTTCCTAATGTCCAGCTCACCATACCTCCTTTAGAAACATTTAAATGCTAACCATGTCCCTTTCCTTTTCCTCTGTTGTCCCACCAATTTGGGGCTATTTAGGAGTTAGAGCATGCGCCAGTCACAGTCCTGGAGTTTTGAGCTGAGTGGCCCTTATAAATAGTGCATGCTTACATTCCTATTGTGATGGGAAACTCACTGCTTCATGGTCAGCTGGTTGTCACTGGATAGCCCTCCCTGGGACATGCTCTTCCTCAAGCGGAGCTGAACCCTGCTTTCCCACAACCCCTGCCTCTGTGTCCTGGCTCTGCCCTCATGCTGCTGGCTCATGAGCTGCCTCTGTCCCAGTGCAGCCCTACTGAGATTGGGAGGCTTGACCAGGAACCCTGTAGGCTACGCTCCTCCATGCCAACCAGGATTGGGTCTTCCTGTCTTTCTCGGCCCCATGTGGAGTTTGGAGTGCTAATTCCCCTTTCTCATTGGTCAGGACACCGGTGGGGCCCAGGCCTAAAGTCTTCTTGGTTAAGGAGAAACAAACCCATGTGACTCCAAGGGGGATGTGCTGGCCTTGCCAATGCATCTGCCATCAGCACTGCCCTGCTCATATGAGCTTCCCTTCTCTGAGCCTCAGTTTCTTTCCCTGGGAGGATGGGGTGGGTGCTCAGGTCGGGCTGAGGGCACTTCTATTGCAGGACAGCTCAGAAGCACTGCTGTGCATCCTACCTGAAGGAGAAGAGCTGCATGGCCGGTGTTGTGGGGGCCAAGGAGGGCGAGGCCTGTGGGCTTGAGGACAGTGACACCTGTGGCATCTCCTTGTATAAGGCAAGTCCGACTGCAGCCTTCGTGGCCTGAGAGTCTTTGAGGACTGGGGTTTGGGTTCCCCTGTGGGACTCCACAGTGAGGGTGACCCTCTCACATGGGTCAAGGGTCTCTTCATCTGCATAGAGAACATCAGCAGTTATTATATTGACCTACTAAGTCACAAAATATTTACTGAACACCAGTGTATGCCAGGCCCTATTTTAGTGATGAGGGATGCAGAAACGAGTAA